CGCTATGGGTTGGAATTGACTCGACGGCACTTCACAGACAGCAAGCATCTGTTAAGGAGCTCTGGTCGCATAGTGGTTACAAGTCAGGCTGATAACCTCAAGGTCAGCAGTTAGAAACTACCAGCCATTCAGCGGGTGAAAGATGAGGCTTTCTGCTCCCATAAAGATTTACAGCCTCAGAAACCATATACAGGGTCACTATGAGTCGGAACCAACTCCACGGCATGGCACCGCCACTACCACCAAGCATCCGTTGGATAAGCACTAGACTGCTTAACCACAAGTTGATGTTTCAAACCCATTGGATGCTCCTTGGAAACCCAATATAGCGTCACTATGAATCAGAACCAACTCAATGGCACTTAACAACAACAGTGATAAGCTTCTGGTGGGCCTGGTTGGTGCTGTACTGCTAACCACAAAGTCAGCAGTTCAAGCCCACTAACCCCTCTCAGGACTGACTTGACGGCACTTAGCTACAACAACAGTAAAAGTGTCTGATGTGCTATCATTTATCACCTACAGAGCTATATGATGCAGACATTTTCACTAAATGCCTGAGAATTGTGTACAGCAAACAGGAACTGCTGACTAGAGTTTCTCCAGGCTCTCTGGGACACTTGAATTAACACAGTGAATTCCACTGTCCCAGGGAGTCTGGAGCCCATGAAAATTTGGAATTCTCTTCTGCATTTCCTCCCTTTTGACCAGAATTCCTGTGTGAGACTTTGGCCAAAATGTTCAGCAGTGGTACCCAGGCACCTCTCAGTTCTTCTGGTCTCCTGGCACAGGGGGCAGTTGTTTGTGGAGCTAATTAACTACACATTTCATTCCCTTCTCCAATTTCTGACACTCTTCTTCCTGTACTGTTCCAGGTGAGTAGAGACCATGTGTTGGGCCTTGGATGGTCTTTTTGAAGACCCCAGCCCCTATACAATGAACAAGGAGGTAGAACAGAAACCCTAAGCACATTATTAGGCCAATTGACTGGAATGCCCCATGAAACCGTGGCCCTAACCTCCAAACCAAGGAGCCAAATCCCATGAGGTGTTTGTATATAGGTAGACACAGCAGGTACTTTTTGTTTTTTGGGTTTGTTTGTTTTTTTTGTAAATACAAGACTTCAACAAGTTCATAGAAAATGGAGTTAAAAAACAATGAAAGTTTTCAATTAACATTTGAAGTCCCCTCATAAAAACTTTACCCAATTCAACATGATAGCAATTACGTGAATTGAGCATGTAACCCTTTCCATAATCAATGTGCTTTTTCCGACACCGTTAACCCTCCACCTTTCCTGCTTTGTTCCCCTCCTGGTAACCACTAATAAACTGTGGTCTCTACGCATAGACCTGCTCCTGTTTTTCTCTATACAATTGACTTACTTCACTCAACACAATGTCTTTTTTTGTTTTTAAGATTTTATTGTGAACTGAGTGATAGTTTTCATGGGAGAACATCGGTTTTACACTCATCGTTTCATTGTAGTGATTACAGTCCCCTCCGTTCATCATCACTCACCAGTATTTGCTTCTATTTCCTCTGTGGTTTTTTTTTTTTTTTTTTAATGTTCTCTGAAACACTCAGGAATACATAATCATTTAAACAGCCAAAGGGCACATTCTGCAAGCCTGTCTCCTGGCCGCCAGCTCTCAGTCCTTCTGTTTCCATGAGTCTGGAGTCCTTAGTTGCTCCCTCTCTCCATGTCTTCATCTTTGCTGCTGTCTCTGGTGTCGCTGCTGCTCTAGTTGGGGTCCCACATTCCTCTTGTTCTCTGTTGATGGTCCTACGGTCCTCTCTTTCTGGACAGTAAGAGTAACTACTCTTCCGTTTTTGTTGCAAAACTTCTACCTTTACAGTTGTGACAGTCACAATTAGTCATGATAACAATTACTATTGAATTATAAGACTCTTATCCCCATCTCCTTTCACCAGACCCGTCTAGACAAGATGAACACTATCAGTGGGGGGGAGTCTACCTTCCCTAGCACACTCTGAAACTAAACTCCCTCTTGAAAACTTGTAAGCCAGTCACTTCATGCCTTTATATCCCCTTATTTTAGGTAGCCAGTGTCTAAGTTGCCTTTCCCTATCTACCATGTGTACAGAGGGGATAGGATTGATAATTGATTTGAAGACTCCTTCCCTCTCTGTTAGTATTTTAAGGTATTACTTGCGTAAATATAGGTCAAGTTCATCAAATTGTAGCAATTTACACTTGTTTCTTTAATCAAAAAATTTTTTATCTTCCTCTATATAAATCATCCAGCCATCAAAGCTAGGTCAAATGGGTACTATCTGCAAGTTTTAGCATTTTTGTGCATCTCCCCTCACTTCGTATCAGCTGGATGCTTCACTCTCAGCTCTAGCCCTCTGTGGCTATGTCCTTGTCCATGGGCTCAGGTGTCCCCAGCTCTCATCACACTTCAGGCCAACCAGCCCTTCGTCTTCTCTCTCTCATCTCCAGGTCAATGGGAGTCAATGGAATGTGGTCTAACTCAGCCCACATCTCTATCGCTACCCCTCCCTCGCCCCCACTCACCAGTAGACCAACATGGTCGCCAGCAAGCCCACATGCCTGCTTGTGTATTCCCTTTGAGTTGCAGTCTTGGAGGGGGTCAGCACAATGTCTTTTAGCTCTATCCATATCCTAGCATGCATCAAGACCTCATTTCTCCTAGTGGCTGAGTACTGTTTCATCGTTTGACTATATCACACTTCGATTATCCATTCATCTGTTGATGGGCATTTAGGCTGTTTCCATCTTTTGGCTTTTATAAAGCATGCTGCAGTGAACACTAGGGGTACGAGTCTCATTTTTGACTGTTTGCATTCCAGTCTTTTGAGTAAATAGCTAGGAGTGGAATTGCTGGGCCCCACGGTCGTTCTGTTTTTAGTGTTATGAGGAACTGCCAGCTTGTTTTTCACAACAGCTGTGACATTTTACATTTCTGCAACAATGGTTAAGGATTCCAATTTTCCCATATCGTCACCAATATTTTTATTTTCAGGTAGGTTTTGGTTTTTTAAACTTAGCCAACCTAGTGAGAGTGCAATGCAGCCCATTGTGGTCTTGGCTTGTATCTCTGAAGGCTAATAATGCTAAGCTTCTTTTCTTGAGTTGGGTGGTGAATTGAATGCCTTCTTTGACAAAATGTCTATTCAAGTTCTTTATCTAGTTTTTGATTAGATCATTTGTTGTTAAGTTGTAGAAGTTTTATATGTAGATTTTTGTCAGACACATGGTTACCAAAGATACCCTGCCAGTTTGTAGCTTGTTTTTTACTTTTCTGGTAAAGTCTTGATGAACAACAGTCCAAAATTTTTATGGGATATCATATTTTTTTTGTGTTGTTTGTATTTTAAAAAAAATAGATAATTCATTGTTCAGAACTGTGTTTGACAGCAATGCACTGCTTCCCATTATAAAAATGTTGTTGTTTTAACCCCTAAAGACTGTCACCCTTTGACACCCTTCAAACCTGGACGTGAACCCAGTCTTAGGGATTCCCTTTCAGCCTACAATAGACAGATCTAGAACGTGAACAATAAGGCCTTAATCCTCAGAATTAGACTTACCTACCTCCACTCCCATAAAGATTTGCAGCCTTGGAAACCCTGTGCAGGGTTACTATGAGTAAGAACCGACTCCCCGACACATCACCACCACAGCCACCCAGCTGTGAGTAGCATCGCTCTACTGAGACCTCCCCATTTAGAGTCCTTCCCTGTAACACTTAGTTCATGGAAGAGAGCTCCAGACTGTGAGTGTGCTATGGGTAAGCTGATTTGTTAATGTTGTTGTTAGTGAACCACCGACCTTGCAGTTCAAACAGACTTTGCAGTCCAGCGCATTAACCCACGGCACCACACCAGGAGTCCAGAAGCTGATTTATCAGTGGCATTAAAGAATTGCTGGACTCCCGGTGTGGGGTCAACACTGGACTGCCAACTGCAAGGTCGGCAGTTCAAACCCACCAGTTGCTCTTTGGAAAGCCTATACAGGGTTGCTGAGAGTTGGAACTGACTCTGCTACAATTAACAACAATAAACAGCTGCTACCCAGTCTCAGATAAAGCACCCCTAATTTCTTTGGTAGAAGTGTGGTGGTGGGGGGGGATGTAAGACAAGAGGCCAGGAAAATGTTTAGGAAAATCACTTCTCATCACATGTGGGGGTGGGGCAGGCCAAGATCATCTTCTTGTTGTTAAGTACCGTCGATTCCAACCCATAGCGACTCTGTATAGGGTTTCCGAGGAGCAGCTGGTGAGCTTGAACCACCGACCTTGCAGTTCAAATGGCTTTGCAGTCTGGCACATCAACCCACAGCGCCACACCGGGACTCCTTAGTCAGTATAAGACGAATCATTGTCATGTTTATATTCATGAGGAACCCTAAATGTCCTCCAGTAGGTGAATGGATAAACTGTGGTGCACCAGTTTACAAAACTGACCAGAGCCTTATGTACCAACATGCGAAATTCCCAACCATGATGGCAGATGAAAAGCAAGTTGCAGAGATGTTCAAGCCATGAAGTAACGAACTTGTTATGATTATATAGGTATTATCATAAAGGAGTAAAACATTAAGCGTTCCTAAGAATCATAAACAGTAACAAGATAAATATTGTATGATCTGATGCAAATAAAATAGGCAAGTGTTTGAAAACCAGTGGACTCCTGGTGTGGCACTGTAGAATAAACACTGGACTTTGAACCTGAAGGTCATCAGTTCAAACCTACCAGCTGATCATCGGAAACCCTGTACAGGATCTCTGTGAGTCAGAATCCCGTTGATGACACTTCACAGCAACATCATGAAGACCAGAGTTTATTAGTCCTTACCAGATTTGGGGGAGGGAGGGGCTATGTGAGAAAAGAGTCACCGTGGCTTGGTGGATATTGAGCTTGTTAATGAAGTGTGTAATCGGAAATGAATAATGGTGCCGTTTGTATAACATGGTAAATGTAATCACTGTTGTTGAATTGTACGTGCAAAAATTGCCTGGATTGGCAGAAGATATGTGTGTGTGTGTGTGTGTGTGTGTATAAATACGGAGTCCTGGTGTGGTGCTGTGGGCTAGTGCGCTGGACTGCAAAGTCAGTTTGAACCAAAAGGTCAGCGGTTCAAGCTCACCAGCCGCTCCTCAGAAACCCTATACAGGGTCGCTATGAGTCGGTACTGACTCTGTGGCACTGTTAGATTCTTTAGTTTTTCTACATTTAAAACATTTTATTGAAAAGATGGAAAATTTTAAATGCTTATTTATAGTAATGATAAGCGTAAAAAATCAAATTAGTGCCAAATGCACAAAGATGAAAAATATTCAGATACCTAATTTGTACAATTCCAGTGTTCATTCGTGTCTTGATTGCCCTGTTTAAGTCCTCCTCTGGCCTCAGTTGAATTCCTCATGAACACATGTTCACTGAGCACAGGCATCAATGAAGAAGACATGGTCTCTCTTCTCATAGATCCTGCTGTGGGTAGTAACGAACTGGCGCTCAGCTTAAGCTCATTGAATAATCCGGTGTTTAAAGGAAAGGAAAAAAACGTTTATATTTCTAAACATTGACAAAATGCTGACAGTATCATCAGAGACGATTTCTGTGATATTTCCTTTAAATGTATGTCTTAAAAGAAGCCTGTTGTAGAATTGATCCCAACTTACGATTGTCACAGTGGAACTGTACTGTTTAGGATTTTCAGCGTCTGGTTTTTTAGAAGTGGGTCATCAGGCCTTTAATCCGAAACACCTGCGGGTGGAGTCCAAACATTCACCTTTTTGTAGAAAGTTAACTATTTCCACCACTCAGGGACTCCTGAGACAGAGAAGAGGCGCAGTAATAATTACAGGTTGCAGTGATAGTTGCAGAAATGTAATTTTGTCTGAGGGAAGGGGTAGAGGTTGCACAATATAACTGCAAGCTTATGATATCGCAAATTTTGCAAGGTCGAGATTTACAGTGATCGTAAGTGTTGTGATGTTGAAAAATAATAGGTGTTTAAAGTGTCTCACACACTTAATATTTGTCATGAGGGAATTATTCAGCACTGTCTATTAAATCATAGAGCCCACAAGGCTGCAAAGCTGCTACAACCTAATGTGATTGTCCCCCATTTTGTATGTTTTAAAGTTCTGAGCCAAGATGTTTTCTTCACCCAGAATTTAATTTTATACAATAGTTAAAATAATCCTTCTGAAAGGATTAGTGGAACTTCTAGCCAAAGTGAGATTTTTGCTGGCAGTGAAGGTTTTTGTTTTTGTTTGGTTGTGTTGTATTTTAAGAATATCTTTTAGGTAAGCTTTCTCTACCACCTTGATTTTTTAAAATCTGTTAATGTCAATAGTTTTTTAAAAGGAAAATAGCAGCTTGTCTTAAAGGGGTGGTGGAATGACCATTTAAGTTTTAGAAGCGCATATGCAGGGTCCAAAGCCTGAACTGTTTGTTTTGAAAATAGACGCATTTGCAGACTTGTGTACTAAATTCATGGAAAATGTATCATTTTCCTTTCTTCATTTACATAAGTTAGTCCCTGTAACTCTGCGTGGTGGTTACTGTTTTGTCTTTGTTGTTGTTGTCAAGTGTGGTCGAGTCACTTCCAACCCATAGCAACTCTGTTTTCCAAGGAACGGCTTGTGAGCTTGAACTGACGATCCTGTGGTTGAAACCGACGTTGCGGTCCAGCGCATTAACCTGCAGCGCCACACCAATACCACACCAGGAATCTAGTTTGTCTCGTTGCTGCTGTTAAGTTCCGAGTTGGTTCCGACCCATATTGACTTTGTAATAGGATTTCTGAGGAACGGCTGGTGAGCATGAACCGCCGACCGTGTGGTTCAAACCAACTTTGCGGTCTAGACTCTAACCCACAGCACCACATCAGAACCCAGTAGGTTGGGGATATTCAGTGTAACAGTAACTAGCATCAAACGACTCTGCCCAACACACATGGAAAGGGAACAGGTCAGAGGTCAGATCTCTCTGGCGTCTCTTAGGGTAAAACTGAATACTAGAAGTGAAAGCTTCTTCTGTTTTAGAACATAGAATGTCATTATCCAGTAGTGAAAATGAAATATTCTTGTACAATACATTTTCTAATAAAATTTTCAACTTACCAATACTTTAGTACAAGAGGGTTTTATGTGGTGTTTTATGTGGTGGCATTTTAGGTCTGTGTGATTAACGCCCCCCGCTCCCAACAGGTGACATTGATTACAGCGCCGTGCTTCTTGGAATGTTGGTCACGCAGGACGTGCAGCTGGGATTGTTCATAGCTGTTATGCCGACGTTCATACAAGCTGGAGCAAGTGCTTACTCGAGGTAACTTTCCAGACTTCATCTTGCAATTTGTTGTTCTACTTTCAAATCATTTGTTTATAAAAAATATTTAGTATCTTGTTCCAAACCATGTTCTTAATTTAAGAGCCTGGACCCTAGAATAACACTTGTTGTTGTTGTTAAGTGCTGTCGAGTCGGTTCTAACCCACAGTGACCCTGTATAGGGTTTCTGAGGAGCAGCTGGTGAGTTTGAACCACCAACCTTGCAGTTAAAATGGCTTTGCAGTCTGACGCATTAACCCACAGCGCCACACCAGGACTCTTGGGGTAACACTGTTGTTGTTGTTAAGTACTGTGGAGTCGGTTCTGACTCATAGTGACCCTCCACAGGGTTTCCGAGGCTGCATATCTTTACGGGAGCAGAAAGCCTCATCTTTCTCCTGCTGAACTGGTAGTTTCAAACTGCGGACCTTGAGGTTCACAGCCCAATTCGTAACCACTACGCTATCAGTTGTTGTTGTTGTTGTTAAGTGCCGTTGAGTCAATTCCAACCCATAGCGACCCTGTACAGGGTTTCCAAGGATGTTAATCCTTACGGGAGTAGAAAGCCTCATCTTTCTCCCACATCAGTACTTGGGCTCAAATCTGTAACTTAGTAGCTTTTTTAACCTTGGGCAACCTTACTGTTCTTTAGTTTTGTCCTCTGTAGAGTGAGGATGTTGTTGTTGTTAAGTGCCGTCGAGTCGGTTCCGACCCATAGCGACCCTGTACAGGGTTTCCGAGGGTGTAAATCTTTACGGGAGTAGAAAGCCTCATCTTTCTCCCGCGGAGCGGCTGGTAGTTTCGAACCGCTGACCTTAAGGTTCGCAGCCCAATTCGTAACCACTACGCTACCAGAGCTCCTTGTAGAGTGAGGATATTGGATACTTAACCAATAGTAGCTCCCAGAGGGCAATCGTGGTTCATGGTAGAATGCTTTTATTTTCTCTGTGAAAGACTCGAGTTCAGTTCCCAGCCATTGCTCCTCACATACAATCACCAGGTGTCTCTCAGTGCAGTCTTGAATTTTGCTGGGATGCTAAACAGACCAGGAATAAAGACCTGGGGATCTGCTTCCAGAAAGCCAGTGAAAAATCTGTGGATGCCATTGGTCTCATCCTGTTGTGCACGGGTTCACCATGGGCCAGGTGGGTGGGAGGAATGCAGGAATGAAGCGAGCAATGAGCGCTATGAGAGCAGTCGATGATTAATTCCATAGGCTAGCAGTGAATGTGCACATCGTTAGCCGTTCACTTCTCCCACTGAAATTATCCGGAACCTGAAACTGAATTTTTATGACTTCATATGGAGAGACGGGCCTAGTGGGGAAACCATTTAATGCAGAAGTTAGTAGGTTAGGCTGAACAGACAATCTATCCCAAGAATCCCGGTCACCGGGTACAGTTACTGTTTTCTGTCGTGCTGATTCTGACTCTTAGTGACTCTGGATCACAGAGCAGAACTGCCTGGGGTACTTTCTAGGCTGTGGAGTCTTTTCTCCCACACAGCTTCCTGGTGGGTTCAAACTGTCAACCTTCTTTCTGGTGAACAGCTGAGCCCTTCTCTAAAAGTGTAGGGACAGTATAGGGAGCCCTATGAAATTTTAAAGCCAATGCATGTGGAGTATAACTGTAAGCTTGAGTTGGTTTTAAGCAGATATACCATAACTTACGCATAGAATTGGGACCCTGGTGTGGAGCTGTAGGATAAGCACTCTACCGCAAGTGGCTAGCGGGTTTGGCCCGCCAACCTTGCAGTTAGCAGTTCAGTATTTACACTACAATGCTACATTGTGAGACTGCTGTTGTTGTTGTTGTTAAGTGCCATCGCATTAGTTCCAACCCATAGCGACCTTGTATCGGGTTTCCGAGGTGAACTTGAACCACCAACCTTGCAGTTCAAACGGTTTTGCAGCCTGGCGCATTAACCCACAGCACCACACCAGGACTCCTGTGAGACTAGACCCTGTTAATTATTTCTGAAACAGATGGTCTTACCTGTTGAGGTGGAGTGTGTAAGGGGTAGGTGGGTATGTTTACGGTTCCAGCGGGTCTTGCTGACACCACCCTAGTAACAGTGGAGAGCTGAGAAAGACTACCTCGTTGCAGACAGTCAGGGTGGAAGTTTAGTGTACTGTTTACCTTTTACCAAGACCTGTACTAGGTTCCCCCACCACTCACCTGTCAGTTTGTCAGACTGTGGTGGCTTAAGTGGTGCTAGAAGCTGTACCACTGGTATTTAGATATGAGCATGGTTTCAGTACAGTGTCCACATCAACATAGACTATGAAGAAAAAGAGGTGGACTACTTGTGAATGTTTAGCCACTGAAAATCTTATGAATAACACCAGAATATTGTCAGATACAGGGCTAGAAGATGAACCCCTCAGGTTGGAAGGCACTCAAAATCTGACTGGGGAAGGGCTGCCTCCTCAAAATAGAGTTGACCATGATGAAATGAATGAAGCAGAGTCTTGGGGGCCCTTCATTTGCTGATGGACTACAACTCAAAACGAGGGTTTGTTGTTGTTAGGTGCCACTGAGTCCGTACTGACTCATAGCGACCTTATGCACAACAGAAGGAAACACTGCCCAATCCTGGGCCAACCTCACTATTGTTGCTACACTTGAACCCATTGATGCTGACACTGTACCAGTCCATCCCGTTGGGGGGTCTTCCTCTTTTTCTCTCACCCTCCACCTTACCAAACATGATATCCTTCTCCAGCGACGGGTCCCTCCTGACAATATGTCTGAAGTATGAGACATGAAGTTTGGCCATCCTGGCCTCCAGGGGGCGCTCTGGCTGCACTTCTTCCAACACCGAGAAAGCTGGTGACTTGTGCTTCATTGACTATGTAAAGGCTTTGACAGCTTCAGTCTTCTCTGCATTTACCATGAAGTTATTTGTTGGTGCAGTGGTAAGGATTTTTGTTTTCTTTACATTGAGGTGTACACCATACTGAAGGCTGTGGTCTTTAATGTGGTCTTTGTTAGTAAGTATTTAAATCCTGTTCACTTTCAGCAAGCAAACAAGCAAGGTTGTATCATCCACATATTGCAGGTTGTGAACGAGTCTTCCTCCAATCCTGATGGCGTCCTTCATAGAATCTAGCTTCTCAGATTATTTACTCAGCACACAGATGGAATAAGTATGGAGACAGGATACAACCCTGCCTCACACCTTTCTTAATTTGAAGCCATTCCAGTGTCCCCTTGTTCTAACAACTGCCTCTTGGTCTATGTATAGGTTCCTTGTGAGCACAATTCAGTGTTCTGGAACACCCATACTTCATAATGTGGACCATAGTTTGTCATGATCCACACAGTCAAAAGCCTTTACAGAGACAGTAAAGCACAAGTAGACATCTTTCTGATTTCTCTGCTTTCAGCTAAGATCCATCCGACGTCACCAGCAATACCTCTAGATCCACTACTTCTGAACCCAGCAGGAATTGTTAACATATATTCTGCAAAATTGTACTTAGATGTGATTGATATTAATGATACTGTTCGATGATTTCTGCATTTGCTGAGTCAGCTCTTCTTGGTTGGAATGGGCACCAGGATGTATCCCTTCCAGTCAGTTGGCCAGGTAGCTGGCCTCCAAATTTCTTGGCACAGATGACCGAGCGTCTCCAGTGCTGCATCAGTTGAAAGATTTCCGTTTGTATTCTGTCAGTTTCTGGAGCCTTGTGTTTCACCAATGCCTTCAGTTCAGCTTGGAATTCGACCCTCAGCACCATTCTTGATCGTCTGCTACCTCTTGGAATGGTTGAACCGGGAACCCTTTGTTTTTGGTACAGTGACTCTGTGTGTCCCTTCCATCTTCTTTTGACACTTTCTGTATCAGTCAATATTTTGCCCATTGTTTTTCTTGTTAGTGCCATCAAGTCGGTTCTGATCCATAGCGACCCTGAATAGGGTTTTAGGGCTGGTTGTGGTAATGGCTGCACCACTCTGGCTATACCACCGTCCACTGAACTGTACACGCTAAGTTGGTAAAATTACCTACAATTGCATTTCAACTTCATAAACACATGAGTGAGGTACAGTTAGGAATAACTTTCTGTTAACAGTGATTTGTCTAATAGTAAAGTAGTGGGTTTGTGTTAATTTTTGCGGGAGAAAGATGAGGCGTTCTGCTCCCGTAAAGATTAACAGCCTTGGAAACCTTGTGCAGGGTCACTATGAGTCAGAACCGACTCCATGGCACATAACAACAACAACAATGTGTATATACTTTTTTGTATTTTAGGAAAACCTCTCCTAATCTTATAGTAAAAAAAAAATTAAAAGAAATAAATTCAGTTGTAATGCTAGTATAAACTTTGCCTTTTAATTAAATTTGATGCAGAACGAATTTTAACCTTTCCTAAAGGGAAAAATTAACTTTTTCCCAAATATTTTACAGGTAAAGAGCACAATACAGTAAGCTGTGAAAAATAAGATTATTAAGATGTAAAGTGATTGAATTTATTAGATTTAAAATTCTGCTAAACCATGAATGTTTGAAAAGTATGGGTGGATTTGCTTATCATGCTGATGACAGGAAGCGCTTTTTTTGTTTTGTTTTAAACTTTTTTTTTAAAAAATGTTTTATTGTGAATTATGTGATAGTTTACATGGGAGAACATTAGTTTTACATTCATCCTATTGTATATCATTTCATTGCTATGGTTACAATCCCTCCATGTATCATCAGCCAACCAAAGGGTATACACTACTAGCCTGCCCCCCGGTCGTCAGCACACAGCCCCTCTCCCTCTCTGTGTCTAAAGTCCCCAGGGCTCCATCGCTCCACGTCATCGTCTCTGCCTCCATCTCAGGCATCCCTGCTTCTCTGGGTAGGGTCCCGACGCTCTCCACTTCTTCCTTGATGGTCCCAGGGACCTCCGCTCCTAGGCTGAAAAGTTAATCACCCCCCTCCTTGCTACAAAACGTCTACCTATACATTTCCAACCCTCACAAGCAGTCCTGATAACAATTATTCACTGTTGTATCACAAGAGACCTATCTGCATTTCATTGCATCAGCCCCACCTAGACAGATAGGATACTACTCAGTGGAGAGTCTGCCTTCCTCCATGCCCTCTGAATCTAAGTTCCCTCTTGAAAGCTTGTAAGCCAGTCACTTCTTGCCTTTGTAGACACCCCCCCCCCCCACTTTAGGTAGCCAATGTCCAAGTTGCCCATCCCTGTCTACTCTGTGTATGGAGAGGGTGGGAATGATACTTGCTGTAAAGATTTTTTCCCTCTTTTGAGCTACTGCATCCATAGGTGTAGGTCAAGTTCATCAAATTCTATCAGATTACACCTTTTTTCCTCTTCTTTCTTCTTCTGGTTGAGCTCTGATCATCCAGTCATTGAAGTCAGATCAAGTGTGTACTATCTGCAAGTGTGGGTGTTCTTGTGCATATGCCTTCTCTTCTTATCAGCTGGATGCTTCACTCTCTACTCTAGTCCTCTGTGGCTATGTCACTAACTCTGGGCCCAAGAGTCCCCAGGTCTTGCCAGGAAGCTCTTTTATATGTGTTGGTATTAAGTGTTGTCGAGTTGGTTCTTGGTCTGGAGTCCTGGTGTGGCGTGGTGGGATAATGCACTGGACTGAAAGGTCAGTTTGAACTATGAGGTTGATGGTTCAAAGCCACCAGATGATCCTTGGAAACCTATACAGGGTCGCTATGAGTCAAAACCAACTTGATGGCACTTAACAACAAAAACATATTTTTATGTATCTATGTGTATATCTATGTATATATATGTGTGTGTGTGTGTGTATGGTGATCGTGATGGTTGTGGTTATATGCCGAGGAGTCGGTTCCGACTCATAGTGACACTACATAGGGTTTCTGAGTCTGTAAATCTTTACAGGAGCAGAAAGCTTCATCTTTCTCCCAGGAACAGCTGGTAGTTTCGAACTGCTGACCTTAAGGCTCACAGCCTGATTCGTAAGCACTACACATATGTATATGTATATATAAACATGAGTCCTGTTGTGGTGCAATGCACTGGACTGAAAGGTCACTTTGAACCACAGTGATGATGGTTCAAACTCACCAGCCACTCCTCAGAAACAATATTAGGGTTGGTATGAGTCGGAACTGACTCGACAGCACTTAACAACAAAATGTATACACACACACACACGTATGAATCACAGCCCGCTGCCATTAGGTTCATTCCGGCTCATAATGACACTGCCTGCACCAAGTTTCAGAGTCTGCCTGACTCCTGACTTGTGCAGGCAGCCTCATCTTTCTCCCGCAGAGCCACTGATGAGTTTGAATTACCGAACTTGTGGCTAGTAGCCCAACACCTAACTCATAGCTCTTCCAAGGCTCCATAGTCTGTGTGTGTGTGTGTGTGTGTGTGTGTGTGTGTGTGTGTGTGTGTAGCCCCAAAAGAAAGGAGCCCTGGTAGCGTAATGGATTACGAGCTGGGCTGCTAACCGCAAGGTCAGCAGTTCAAATCTACCAGTCACTGCAGGAGACAGATGAGACTTTTTGCTCTCGTAAAAGTTCACGACCTCGAAAACCCTGTACAGGGTCGCTATGAGTCTTCACCATGTCTGCAATCAAGATGGTTATACAGCACAGCTAGTGTAGTGATGATGAGCACAGACTGTACCAGGCCGCCTGGGTTACCCTCAGCTCTGCACTTAGTGTGTGGTTTCTGCCACGATTTTCTCCCCTGTAGAAGAGATTGTAATAGTACTTGTCTCATAGGACTTCCCTAAGAGTTATTATGAAAAGTGCAAATATTAAATTTCTTGTGCCTGTCTTTAGTAAAACTGGACTGAAGCTAGCACACCTGTGAATGTGCCATGCACTTTTCTAGATACATAGAATACAAAGGTGAGCAGGCTGCTCTCATGGGACTGTCCTTCCATTTGGGAAAGATAATGAATCATCAGTAAATTAATAATATCCAAGAAAAGTATCTAGCCTAGGTAAGTGGCAGAATGAGTGGGGTTCCCAGAGGCCCCTGAGTAGTTGATGTTTCGGCTGGAATCTGAGAAGCACAGGCGGCCAGTCATGTGAGCAGAACCTGGAGGAGCAAATGTTCTACAACTTGAGGGAGCCTAGCCTGTCAACAGAACAAAAGGTCACCTGCTTTGCGGGTAAGGAAGGAGTCAGGTGAGATGCAGTATGCTGGGGAAGGAAGTTGGAGCTCCATTGACGTGTCACAGGAAGCTTTACAACATCGGATTCCCGTTCCTAACGTGTTGTTTGGCTTCTTGAGAGTGGATTGTAGAGAGGCAAGATCAGTTCAGAGATTGTTGGAAGGGTGTAAGAGGAAGATGATGGTAGTTTATTGGCTAAGGGACTGGTGATAGTGATGGAAACAAGGGCCAGACTCAGGACACATTTTGGTGGTAGAGGACTTAAAGTTTGGGATGTGTAGAGTAGAGGAAAACAAATAATTAAGTGTGACTTGGCTTGAAAAACTCGTTCAGTGGTCTTTGGGTGTGGAAACTTCGTCGTGAACATTAGTGACAGTAACCTATTTGTCCTAAACCAGTGAGCCCAGCTCTGTTCTTGCCAGTGTTTCAGTGAGCTTCGTATTCCCACACTGGTTCACCCTCTGAATGAACACATGCAGAACCTTTCCCAATGACTTCAGAATTTTTTCCTAGCATTTGTTTCTTAATCCCATCTTACTTTGCTTCAAACCCAACTCTGTTCTAATTCCCCTGAGTAATCTTCTGTGGCAACTTGAGACTTGTGTTTCCAGCACTGCTATTTTTAGCCTGGCTGCAGTGACAAATACCTTCTTAGATATCATCTCCCATTGATTAGGACAACTTCTTGAACCAGAATTTGGCACTGAGTGTTATTCTAAATATGGTGGGATGCTGTTTCAAAATAGTGTCGTTGTTGTAAATACTATAAATATAGCCATACTTTTGTTATGAAAGCCATTAAGCTGATACCATAAGGACAGATTGTTTTTTTATTTGTATATATTTTAAAAAGCTTAATAAAGAAAAATTTTTTCTGTAATGAAATAATAGACATGAAATTTAGGATTCTGGCTCGTGATAGGAACTTTTTGGCTGAAAGCTTCTGGAATTCTTGGATCATGTTTCCAGTGCAGAGTCAGGAGTCCTGGTGTGGCGCTATAGGGTAAACACTGGACCACTAGGTCAGTTTGAACTGCAAGGCCCATGGTTCAAACCCACCAACCAGCTCCTGAGTAACCCTATACAGGATCTCTATGAGTCAGAACCGACTTGACAGCACACAACAACAACATTGTCTTAAAAAGAACATCAAAGGGGGGAGGTTAACTTCTGATGAGAGATTTTGTTATCAACCATTGATTATGATTAAAAACTCATTCAAGAGTCATTGCATGCTATAAATGTATTTATTCCGGAGTATTAATTGTGAAACAATTCAGCTTCCATATTTGCTTCAGATAACTCTATTTCTGAGGTGAATACGTTCCATAAGTTTTATTTCAGCATTTAGAAATAAAACTGGGTGTGATTTGGGTAATTTGGATTGTCACATTTTAAAGGAAAAAAGGAGTGAACGATGATTTTACTGGGTTTTAGAGAATTGTGTTTTGATGGTGAAGTAACATGTCTGTTTTTTCTTTCTTTCCTAGCATTTTCATGGAAATACTACGAATACTTGTTTTGATTGGTCAGATTCTCTTTTCGCTAGCAGCTATTTTTCTTTTATGTCTTGTTATAAAGACTTATCTAATAGGACCGTATTATCGAAAGCTGCATATGGAAAGCAAGGGGAACAAAGAAATCCTCATTTTAGGAATATCTGCTTTCATCTTTTTAATGTTAACGGTAATTCTCTATGTATATATATTATTTCTATAATCTAATTCATAGTCTAAAAGTTAATTTATAATCACTAAAAGTTTATGATAAATCCTTATCTTTTCATTGTAATCTTGGTTATAATATGTAAAACATTTATTAGTATTTTTTTTACTGTAGACAGTATATTGTGCTACCCACCAGTATCTAATACAATGAGCTAAACCTTAGTTAAACTGTTTTGACTCATACTCTTAAGGACTTTGCCAACAGTTTTTTGGGGGGAATTATCTCAAGTTGCCACATGATTACTTAAGGGAATTAAGTAATCTACTTATGTGAAGGCAAAAGCTACAAAAAAAAATAAATAAATAAGAAATGTCAAATATTCCATTATGTTTGAGACTTTTGAATAGCTTTGCATCTGAAGTAGAGAATTAGAGTCTCAGAAACAAATTTTAGTCAAGTTTGATGGGACAGGCTAGTCAATAGTGTAACTTGTATTGCTGTAATGTGAAAAGAATGTGTTATTCTAGAAAGCAGATTCTCTTTACTTAAAGGACAAGCTTTTTATGACAGGAGGGGAAATTACTATTAGACTCATATAAATAGTCTAAATATGAACTATTTCCTTCATTAAAGTAACTCAAATTCCTGATATTGGTCATGTAAAAACATGCAATTTTACAAAAGCGAAGACGGTTTTATGCAAAAAAAAAAAAAAAAAGTAGCAGTAGGTTGTCTATAAATTGCTTTCCTAAACATTTTTATATCTGTTTCTTAATTTTATTTACTCAGAAATCATGATCTTTAAAAAAGTTGGATCCATCTGAAAGTAAATTAACACACTTTTACTTCCAGGAAGATGGAATAGAAAATTTTTTTTTCCTATTCTATCTGGTAATTATAGCTAAACCCCACTAAAAGTCCAAGAAATGATATATAAAACTAATATAAGAAAACTCTGAATGGTGTAGAAAAGCAGCAGCTGGCTAAGGAGTTCAGAGCCTGAGGAATGGAGTTCTCTGGGTTTGCTCTTTTGCCTTAATATTTCACACCTGTGGAGCTGAAGAAACTCGCCACTCAAAAATCAACAGGTGCAGACCAAAAAACCCTACTCAACTTGGGCCAAATGACCAGGAAAGGGAAAGCCTAGAAAGACTAAAATCCTTCGATTCCACTGAGAAAACGGAAGTCCCACCCATGTCGGCTAAGGCCAGGCAGGAGCCTAGATTTACAATCCATCCCAGTACCCCTGCCAGAGTGCTGTCAGTGATGGCCCAGTAGAAAGCCAAGACGTGTACGCTCACTGGTCAGTGAGGCGCTTTCCCTTAAACAGGCCCTGTTCACATCCCACAGTGCCTTTTCTGACTCCATGGAGACCCCACGTAAATCCTCCTGAGTATAGAGGATAAGTGAGGAACGCAAACTTATAGCTGCACGTTGCAGTGATCAGGTGCTGTTCCACCTTTCCTTGCCAGAGCAGGGTTAAAGAAAGCCAACTGAAACAAGAAATTAAATATTAAGATACAGAATCTCAGGGCATACCACAACAATATTCAGGTGTCAGTTCGAAATCTGTCATAATACTGAGAACCAACTTGAATAAAACAATGAAGTGATAGACGCCAACAACAAAATGGCACAGATGTGAAAATCACCTGACAAGGATTTTAAACCCACCATCGCAAAACTGATCTGAGGAGCAGTTAGGAACCCACCTGACAGAAATGAAGAAGGAAGACTCCCCAGAAAAATAGAACTCGGAGCAAATGAGTCCTGGTGTGGCGCTGTGGGTTAATGCGCCAGACTGCAGAGCTGTTTGAATTGCAAGGTTAGCAGTTCAATCTCACCAGCTGCTCCTCAGAAACCCTATACAGGGACGCTATGGGTCAGAACCAACTTGATGGCACGTAACAACAACAAATGAAAAGTTTACAACTGGGGAAAAAATAAAGCAAACACTCCCCCCTGAAAAATGAAAAACAAAACACAACAACAAAAACCAGATACAACAAAACAGCCCATTGGATGTACTCAGAAGCCCTAGTGACTCAGTGGTTAAAGCACTTGACTGCTAATCAGAAGGTAGGTGGTTTGAGCCCATCAGCCACTCTGCAGGAGAAAGTTGTGGCATTCTGCTTTCGTAGAGGAAGATGGCCCTGGGGACCCCTGAGGAAGTTCTGCTCTGTCCTATAACATCAGTATGAGCTCCAACCAGTGCGGCAGCAATGAGGTTTTCTGTAACGTGTTCACTAGCAGAATGGAGGGCTTCAGGAAACAACTGGTGAGTTGGAGGCAAAGCAATAGAAACTGCCCAATTGGAACAACAGAAGAAACAGGTCCGAAAAAAAATAGACAGAGCCTCAGGGACTTATGGGGCAATAATGAGAAATCCAACATTCTTGTCATAGGAGTCCTGGAAAAGCAGAGTGGAACTGAGAAAGTACTGAAAGAAATGATGGTAGCGGGGGAGTAGGTACTCTGACATTCCAGGAACAGAGGACCCTAGGGCCATCAAGGGAGAAGAGCAGGAGCGGAAAGCAGCGACACCAGAGATGGAGGCAGAGATGGGGACATGGGGAGAGGGAGCATCTAAGGACTCCAGACTCATGGAAAGAGAAAGGCTGTGTGCTGGCAGCCAGGAGACAGACTTGCAGAATGTACCCTTTGGTGGTTTAAATGATTTAAAAAAAAAAAGCTAAAGTGGATAGAGAGAAATACTGTTTAACTGATGGTACATGGAGGGGATTATAATCATTGTAATGAAACAAGGTGTATGGCTCGTTGAATATAAAACTGATGATCTGCCCTGTAAACTTTTACTCAATCCACAATAAAAACCTTTGAAAAAAAGAAATGATGGGTAAAAACTTGACAGAATTGGCAAGAGACGTGCACCTTTAGGTTCAAGAAGCTTGGGTGAACACCAAACAGGATAAAGCCAAAAAAGGCTACTCCAGGTCGCTTCCCAACAGAAAGAACAATTTTGATGATAGAAGATTTCTCATGAAAGAGTCATGGATACTAGAAAGGAAAGGCAGGGTGTTCTAAGTGCTGAAGGAAAAGCTCTGTCAAGCTACAGTTCTGTACTCAGCAGACCTGAGGATATGGGAAGTTGCAACATTCTCAGATGGAGGAAAGTTCAGAGAATTTATTACCAGCAGACCTGCTATAAAGTAATGGCTAATGGAGGTTTTCTAAACAGAACCAAAAGCAATTAAATAAGGAACTCTGAAGTATCAGGACAAAAGGACCATGGAAAACAAAAATAGAAGTACATTATCCTTCTTCTCCACTTGAGTTTTCTAAATTGTGTTTGAATTTGAAGATGGAAATTATACCACTGTCTGATGGGATTCTCAGTTATGCAGTAAGCACATTTAAGACAAGTACAGCATACGCATAAGAGGGGAAAGGGACATAAAAGAAGACTAAGTTTCTATATTTCAGGTGAACTTCTAAAAGAATAATGACATCATAAACTGTAAAGTGTCTAACTTAAGCCCTGATATATCAGTAATTACATTAAATGTAAGTGCTCCAAATATACCACTTAAAAGATAGAATGTGGCAGATTGGGTTAAAAGCCATCCATGATCCATACTATGCCCAGTGTGTTACACATTCTGAAAATAATGTCACTGAAATGTTCATTTAAAAATGAATAAAATGGAAAATTTTTGTTACCTGTTTTGTCATGATAAACGTAAACACACACAGATGATTCAACTATATGATAAATATATGTTGTTAAATGCTATCGAGTCGGTCCCAACTCAAACAACACAGTATAGTTTCTGAGAAGCAACAGTTCAGAGTTTGAAACTTTGGGGAACTAGACATGTGCCTGACTAATGCATAGATCAAACAAGAAGTCCAAAAGGAAATTTTGACAGAACTGAACATGTATCAGAAGTTGTGAGATACAGCTAAGGCACTGTAAAGGTGTTTTATATCACTAAATGGAATAAAACTTTTGGGACCTTCATTTGCTGACGGGGCACAACTCAAAAGTGAGGAGAAACAGCGGCAAACATCCATTAATAATCAGAATGTGGAATGTACATAGTATGAATTTAGGACAATCGGAAGTTGTCAAAATGAAATGGAATGCATAAAAATCAATATCCAAGGCATTAGTGAGCTGAAATGGACTGGCATTGGCCATTTTGAATCTGATAGTGACATGGTTATTTATGCCAGGAATGACAAATTGAAGAGGAATGGCATTGCATTCATCATCAAAAATAACATTTCAAGATCTTTTCTGAAATATAATGCTGTTTTTGATAGGATAATATCCATGTGCCTACAAGGAAGAGAAGTCAATACCATTGATTCAAAGTTACACACCAAACACTAAAGCCAGTGATGATGAAATTGAAGAATTCTACCAGCTTCTTCAGTCTGAAATTGACCAAACATGAAATCAAGATGTATTGATAATTACTGGTGATTGGAATGAAGGTTGGAAACAAAGAGGAGGGGTCTATAGTTGGAAAATATGGCCTTGGCATTAGAGACAGTGCTGAAGATTGCATCATAGTATTTTGAAAGACCAATGAATTCGTCATTGACAATACCTTTTTTCAACAACACAAAAGGTTATTACGCACATATTGTTAAGTGTGTTAAGTGCCGTCGAGTCGGTTCTGACCCATAGCGACCCTGTATAGGGTTTCTGAGGAGCTGCTGGTGAGCTTGAACCACCGACCTTGCAATTCAAATGGCTTTGCAGTCTGGCGCCTTAACCCCCCCGTACATGGACCTCATGAAATAGATAACACAGGAACCAAATTGTGGGGCGAGGTGGTGGAAAAACTCCGTATTATCAGCCAAAAGAAGATTAAGGGCAGACTATGGAACAGACCATCAATTGCTCAGATGCAAGTTCAGGCTGAAGCTGAAGAAAATTAAAACAAGTCCATGAGAGTCAAAATATTACCTTGAATATACGCCGCCTGAATTTAGAGACCATCTCAAGAACAGATTTGATGCATTAGACACTAATGACCAAAGACCAG